AGAACACAATGTTGTTTCAGGAAGATGGAGCACCGTGTCACACTGCTAGAAACACCCAAAAGTGGCAGGAAGAAAATGGTATCCACAAGTTGCCCTGGCCGAGCCAATCTCCTGACATGAACCCCATCGAAAACCTCTGGGTCATACTTGACTGGCAAGTCAAGAAACAACCAAAAAAACCAACTTTGAAGAGTGATCTACTCCAAGTTTTGAAGCAAGAATGAGCAAAAATCCCACAATCTAAAATTGACGAGATGATTCTCACAATGCCTCAAAGGGTCAACGAACTCCACAAAGCGAAAGGAAGATCTACTAGATATTAATTAAATTATAAATATATCAATTCATGTAAATATTACTGAAAAGGTGGTGTCTATTTACTTGTGACCATGCTGTGTACATTCAAATGTATTAAGTGTTGAGATTTATTGAGTACTATTTTGAAAATTTTTGAGGGCTAATTTTCGGTGAGAAATTCCAGATCTGCAAAATATTTATAATAATTATTCTCAGAGAGCCTGTATATTTTTAACAAAAAAATGATAGGATTGTCCTTTTAAATAATGTTTGACCATTATTTTAAAAAAACACATTAAAAATAATGTACTGGAAATAAATAAAAATTGAGCTTCAGGTATAGCTATAGCTATATTCAAAACAAGTTATTCCTTGCATTAGTATTACTCTCTATACACATAGGTTGGATTTGTGCACCAAACAGAGTACTCATACCTGATAAATAAGAAAAAAAGCTGTAAATGTGTTCCATTTATATTATAATGATTATTAAATGAATAACAAAGTGTATTTCTCTTTGTTTTTAAAGTAGTTCAGCTGCTTTTTTTAGTATATCTATATATTATTATTATTATTTTATTTTTATTATTTGCACAAATTTTAAAAACTTATGACTAAGTAGAGGGTTGGAGCCATCCCCTTCATTATTTGCATGCTCTGAGAAATGTAACACTGGTCAAGTTTATAGCATGTAATATGAAAGCAAAATATGCCCTCAGGCTGGCATTGCCTGGTGGTTAAGGTGGTTGTTTCATGAATTGAGAATCATGGATTTGATATCCAGTGCCACCAAACACGTTCACTTTTTTAGTTGTAAGGGTATTATATAACAATGCCACAGCTGAAAGGGCAAGCATGTTTGGTGGCAATGGGAATTGAACCATAAGGCAGCCCTCATTATCACTAGGCTATGCCAGCACAACTATAAAATTGGATTAATTGTAAAAACATTAATTAGAAATCATAATAGTAATATTTAGATTAGTTTATTATTTTCTTGAGTTGTAATATTAATCTATTATGCTGAACAGACTTGAATTATTTCAAAATAATAATAGCATTATTTTCAGTATTAGGACTATTGGATTAACTTAAACAGTAATAAAATGAAAAAACATTAATTTTGATTAGTTGATTATTTTCATGATGTTAATCAGTGTAATTGTATGTTTCTTTAACCAATTATTTTACATGACACTAATTGATTTAATCAATGCTTATCAAGTTAATCACCCAGCTCTAGTTATCAGCGTAAATAAAAAATCAAGTTACTATCTTGAATTAATACTTATGATGTTAAAACTGGGTTCCAGTATCAAATATATGCTATTAGCACATATGTAATTTATATATATAATAAATGACACATACATGACTTAGCTTTAGGTATTATTTCAAGGTTTTGATATAGGAAACATCTTTTACCTAATTATAATAATTTTAATAGTCTATAACTTTCATCAAAATACTGTTTCACATACTTTCTTGAGTGATAAATTTTCTTATACTTACAATTATTATCTAATACAATGATCTAATATCTACTTATTCTGTAATTTTTATGAGCCAGCATTTATTTATTGGATTTTCTAAAAAAATCGCATGTTTTTGTTTATCATTGCATATCCTGTTATACTATTAGTTCTTTTGTTAGTCTGTTTAATCTTCCCTAATGCTCAGTACTTTAGGTTTTAAGGAGCTAAGTTTGTTAACCACAAAGGATAAATCACTGACGTCTCCTCATGAGTCAACAAAATTGTCTTACTATAGCAATACATATGGTGAATTACATTCTCAAGAGACTTGTGTCCTACACCTTTATAAAATTGTTATGCTCAGTTTTATTGTCAGCAGTAAAAGGAATTGGTAGAACAGATATAAAATGAAATGTAGTAAAATCCTTATTTGGATACAGCTTCTAATTAGATGTTTTAAACTAGCTTAGTGGTGTTCAAGAGGATTGGGGTCCTTTTTTAGAAAGATGTATTACATGTACGTGTGCACGTCAAACTCTTTAATGGTAATGGATATTTTACATTTGTTTTAGAAAAGTAATATCATGTGGTTTTGAACCTACAGTAAATTAATATATATATATATATATATATACTTACTTTAAGACTTATTTTTATAAAACAATAGTTTTGGGGTTGTTTTTTCTTGATATAAAGGGTGCTTGAAGAATTTTAAATCACAACCTTTACTATTGAGAGGGGAAAAAAGAAATACATTTTGTTTATCAGAAACACAGTTTAGAAAGGTAAAAACAATCAGTTTTAAACACATATTTGGATTATTTTAATAATCTCAAAGATTTTTGGCCTTTGAGGAACATAATTTTTCTCATTTTGTGAAAACATTTTATGCATAAATCAGAAAAATATTAGGGTGTTTTGAATAATTTTGTAATATATTTGCAAAACTGTAATGACTGCTTTTTGTAGTTTGCAAAACAAAGAAGAGCTCTTGGATCTGTTTAACATGTGGGGAAATCAACTGTGGAAGGTAAGAAGTTCTGTAAACATTGTTTCCAGCCTGATCTTTTTCATGCTCAGTTATTTTCTGACACAAAATACTTTAATGTGAAATGAAAAATTAAATAAATGTTGCTTGTTTTTAGTTTTTTTTGATATCTCTGATCATCCATTATGGTGTTTACAAGACTGCTCTTGTATAAGAAAAATATACATGTAAAAAGTGTTAAAATAGTAATATCATTAAACCAAGCTAAGCCCAAAATAAAAATTTATCCTTCATAAAAGTCTTGAAGGTCTTTGTGAATATTAAATGAAATATCCAAAACATAACTCTGGAATTAATAACTAGATTTAAGACAGACTTTAACCCTTTTGTGTCCATCCATTTTCATTCTTAAAAGCCAGGAAAATTGAGAAATTTGATGAAAATCAAAAATTTTATATTTTGACTGATTTATCTAATTGAAGAAAAGCCCTAAAAACCATAAATCTTTGATTCAGTATGAAAAACCCTCATCAAAGTAAGTCCACATGGCATTGCTCCAGGGAAGAGAAGTTTTGGGTATATCAGTTATGCCTTTTTCACAGCAATGGATTAATTGTTTTAGAATGTTGCCTAAAACATTTATGTTGAAAGTTTCATATTTTTGAGCTAGAGACATTACCAGTGTTATCATTTGGGCAACATATTATTAAGCTGTATTAGTTCTTGCTTGACCAATTTGTTTTTAGTTGTAAATAAAGAAATTTTATGTATGATTTATTATTTGTACAGTCATCAAGAATCAAACTAAAGTTTTTATCAAACATTTCATAGTGAAAATTGTATATATTTCAGTATGGGAATATTGATACATGTACATACATATTTAATTTCCACCAGAATTTTGACTGACAGCCTGCATCTTTTTTCTTTTTTTATAAGGATTTCCTTGTGGATTGACTCCCTAAGTATAAGAGATATTTTATATACATAGAACAGTATTTTTGTTAATGTTTAATTTAAGAATTTATTGATTTTTAGATCTTATATATGAACAAAGATTTTTACTATTTTTTTTCAACACTTAATTGTTTTGTTTTGTCTTCATGATGAAGATATGTAAATGCACATGCAAAAACTCATCATGAAGAAAATGATCAGCACATGGTCTCTATGGACTGCCACAGTTATGCAACATACTGGTAAGATGCATTTAATAGCAAGTAATGACTAATATTCCTAAATTACTTTGTGTTAGAAAATTGTAGATTTACAGGTTCTGTTTTAGAAAATATGATTCTAATAAGTTAATTGTTTTTTTGTTCTAATTTTGAATATGTTTGGATTGTGAATTTTGTTATCTATATCGTATTGATTAAGAAAGATCTTCATAAGAACAATGAATTGTAAGGAACAGGGATGAGAATTGGCCACAATTTGGAAGATTTCCACTATTTCTACTGTTAGATTGGCCAGGACTATGATGGAGAATACATTATGACCTTCTAACATTTGGAGCACATAGTTAAATAGTACTAAATTGCATAATTTACTGGTGACCGTTACAATATCTACTAATTTATATTTGATTGAAAATCCTATTATCTTACGAGTAATCATGTTTTTGTAATTCAAATAAAAATACACATTATTTAATATGTATGTAGTTCGTGCTGCTTGTGATACTTGTACATACAGGTTAAGCTAGAATTGCAGGAACACCTTATTGCTGCCATTCAAAAGAACTGCTGCTGTCTTCGGCAAAACAAAGATTTACTTAACAGTCAACATTCCAAGCAGATTATCAGTTGCATGTATTTTAACATAACATTGTTGATTAATTAAACATAAGAATGAATAAACAGTAAACAGAGATACAGTTATTAGAAAACAACTATGACCTTGAGCTATAACAAATAGTTCACTACCACGTATAGGGTAATAAATGATAATACACTGCAAGTTGCAGTACTAGATCCAAAGTAATATAAGTGATTGAAGCCGTACTTCAGGTACACCCTCTCCCATAATTCTTTGGTATAATACCCACCTCCCATGCACATCGCAGTGACATAAAGATGTGCTACATATAATGATTTGGTATTTTAAAATAACTTTTTTAAGTAATAGAAATTATACAAATCAAAAGATTAAATTATGCAACTTAGAAGGCTTAGAACTACCTTTCAATTTCTGGCTATCAAGCAAATTTGTGAACACAGCCCTAAAATTGGCTATCCACCAAATTTGTTCTGATTTAGGGAAAAAAAATATTGGGCAGAGGGTGCTGTTACCAAGACAAAATACAAATATTATTATGTTCAATTAGAGGGTATCTTTTCTGTTTTAATGTTTACTATAAATAAGAACTGATGAGTTAAGCTCTGTTAACTGGTTGATTGAGACAGCCAACCAATTGCAAAATGTATTTTGAGGTGAAATTATCCAAACACCTTGGATATGCATGAACTCCCTAAAGTGCAATAGCATTCAATTGAAAATAAACAGCATAGAGGTAGGCTTTGAATTGTTTGCCATTTGTGTTAATGGCATATGCTTTATGCCCATTTTTAGAATTACATACAATAGACATTTTTCTTTCATTGGACGTTATTTTTATGTGTGAACTTTTTTTAGATGAAACTTAAATTGAACATAGATATAATCCAATGAAAGTTGGGTGTGGGGAGCAATATAGGACAAAATTCTCAAAATTGTTTTTAACAATTAAGGACTTTTAATACAAATGAAAATATATTAGACATATTAAATGTCACAGATTCTGAAATAATTGTCAGTCTCATAAGTTATGTTATCCACAAGAAGGTGAAATTGCATGACCAAGGAATTTCAGACACATGATATCAGTATTTAAAAAAAGCATAGCAAGATAGGCAGAGGTTCATGCATTGCCATACATGATGCTCCATACGTCCTTAGTTTATAAATGATTGGTCAATAATTTACCTTAGTAGAAACTAATACTAAATTGTACTAGTATTACCTCAATATTTCAGAAAATGACCAATTTATATTTTAACTTGACTTAGCTGTTAATTTGATCATTGGAAAATAAATAATAATTGGCAAAAGACCAATGTTTCCTATCATCTTAGCAGTAGATAATTTGAATATTTAGTGCAATAAAATGGCCTAGAATGCACCTGATAATATGTAAGATCACTGTCTCATTTAAAGTATAAAATGTTTTAACACACAAACATTATTTTCACACTAGCATTGATTCTAGGTTGTAATAGAAAAGGCACAGTTCCTAAGAAGAGTTTTAATGTACATGTAATGTAGTGTAGCTGTTCATTGCTTAAAGATTTTATGACTACAAGAGTGGCATAAACAATTTTAAGTGATATTACCATTATTGTTAAACGTGAATTTTAAGAAAATGTATTAGAATATTTTCTTATGCAAAAATGAAAATAAGTTTGTTAATTTATTTATTAAGTAGTAAAACTTCCAAGTGAACCTGTTTCTGACTTTGATTCTATAGGTATCTCAGAACTTTCCATAACAGAGTAGTAAATAGTCCAAAGTACAGTCTAAGAAAGTGATCTTTCAAATACCTTAGAAATACAACAACAATAAACACTGTATAATGATTAACACTTTTTGCCAGATACTTATCCTGCAGCATTTCAAATATGTGGGTGTATCTGGGATAAATGTTCTCTAATGAGCCAACTAGGTTTTGTTGCTGCAAGCAGTCATGCTTAATTATCAAATTCCCAGCACTGCATACATATTTCATCAGTTAGGAATTAGATATTTTTTTATTCTTCTCCCTGCTGACTTTTCTCACAATTTAAGCTGAGATTTGCACAGGATTAAAGGTGAAAACAAGAGAGAGTAAATGAGGGAAGAAGAAGAAGAAATAGAAAGATGCATAAAAAAGTTTTAACTCTTATTACAAACAAGAGACAGCTGAAGATTGAAGTAGAGAAAAGTATTTCTTTGAATTTTATATTTTTTACTGCAATGTTAATTTCAAAAATAACGTTTTGGTTATATAAGTTATTTTTCTGTAGCTATAAAACATAATTTAACTGAGCTATTTGCAAAAGTCTGGTTCTCGGGCAGGTATAAAACTTGCCCATTTTATTGTGGATTTTCATTGTTCGGGAGTGTAACTTGCTAATTTTGTGCATATTTCTGCCTTCAGCTATGTATGTGATGACTTTGTGGTAAATGACACCAAAAATAGACAACTACATCAGCTTAGAGAGAAGCTTCAAGCTTTAAATGAGTATGTATTAATACTTGTATCTATCTTGCAGGTAGTGTGTGTGTGTATGTTTTAAAAAAAAATTATTGAGAAATGGGCAGTACATTATGAAATCTTGCTCTGTGCATGAAATAATTTTAAGACAGAATTAACTTGAATTTAAACTGAAATTTAATGAATGGTTTTTTTAATGAACATTATATAATGGTACAACATTAAAAATGCCATCTATTGTTGAAAAGCTAGAAAATTATTTTCTTAAGATATATAAAATTTACAGTTTAAAGAAGAAAAACGAAGTTAGTTTTTTTTAACTATGTAATATTCTGAATTAATGAACAAATATGATTTTATACATTATTTTACTATGACCATAATTAGACCCTTTTGCTCCATGAATTTAAAACTTAATTCAAATAATTTCAAGTTAGGATCCACAGTTGTAAGAGAATGTTTAATGGTCCATTGTAATTTTAATGAAGTTCTATTTTTTTAATGTTCAAACTGTAGAGAAATATCACATTTTCTTTGTATTGTAGACAATTGAGTTAACAGTATCTTAATCTAGATTTGATTGGCATAGGCCTGAGTATCATCCACAACTTAGAAAAAGAAGTAACTCAAGTGATAATACAGAAAATGTGAAGAAAAAGAGAGATAAAGGTGTAAGTTGATAATTTTAATATTTTGAGAATGTGTGGTATTGTTTTATTTTATGGCTATTGCAATACTATACTATAATAAGGCCATAAATTTACAGAATCCATGCTTCTGGTATTTCAGAATTAACTATATAATCACAGTTGATCATATAACAATATAAAAATTTAGAAAAGTTTAATTTTTGTATTTAATGCTGAATCTCAAAAAGTGTTAAATCTTAAAATTAATTTTCAAATAATTGGTTTGTTGGCTAGAGAGCTCAAACTTTGATTACTTAGATCACAGACAGTTGCAGATCCAAGGAAGAGTTGATTTTTCCTCTATTTCTGCACAGGGTAGTTAGATATTTTGTTAATTCAGCTTTTACAGTTCAAAATAATTTCACAGATTTGTGTAGAATGGGATATGTTTACAAAAATACTTAATTTTCACCTAACTTTCTTTGAACATTAAACTAAGGGGATAATCCTCTCTTGATTATTGGTGTTTAAAGTATTCACTTGTCATGCATTACTGAGATCTGTTATAATCTATATTATAATGAAATTTGTGGGCAAATAATTCCTTATTTTTCTATACAAGAAAACAATGAACCTCAAAAACTAAAAACCATTTAAAATCCATTTTACTTTAATTGTTTTAAACATTTATTGATAACTTCATATTACATAAGAAAAAGATATATTTTCTTTTCAGTGTATGTAGTAATGAGAAAATGAAACATAAGCCTAGAAAACAATGCTGATTAACATGTGGAAAATGTGCTCACAATGCACGTGCATTATAAATAAAGAAATGTAAAGATTACATGCTTTAAATTTGTTATTATTCCTTTTTTTGAATTAAAAACACAAGGATATTGTACTAAAACCTTTATCAGCACTTGCCAGCAGTAGCCTTGAGTATCTAAGCAGAATATAGATTCTAGCCTTGATTGACTCAGTGGAATTGTAAATAGATTTGATAAGATTTTTTTCATTACTTTGAAAATGATTACAATATGTAATAAAATTCTACCAAAAATGGCTTTATCTTACATTATAACTTGACACCACATATTTTTTTTTTTTTTTGATTAAGCATAAGTACATAGCATTACTTTTTATCTTAAGTTGGTCTCCTCAGTTTTGGTTCTAGGCATACTTTATTTAAAATGCAGAAATATAGCAATAACAGCTGTTTAAAATAAACTTACTTTCAAAATGCCAATTAAAACAATTCCTGTAAAAATATACTACTTATTTATGTATACAAAAATGACCTAGAAAGATTTTCCAGTAATATATTTTCAAGAGTAGTGTAAGTTTTGAAAATTTCTGGAATAGTATAGAAGGAATAATGGGTAGTTGATAATAAATATTTTTAGTTGTGTTTTTATCAATGGCTAAATGAAAATGTTTTTTATTTTCATGTAATTTGCATACGATATTAAAATGCATTATTCACTGTGTGTGTGTTTGCTCATATTATAGGGTGGTAAATACTGCAGACCCAAAGCTCAAGTGGCAGGCCTTCGAAATCTTGGTAACACGTGCTTTATGAATGCTGTACTTCAGTCTCTTAGGTATGTTATGTGGAATGTTTTAATGTTGAATATGTTATCAATTTAACTTCCAAGATAATACTCCATAAACATTTCCCTTCCAAAACATACATAAGGATTTTACAGAATATTTATAATAAACCCTTTTTCTAAACTTTCTATGAGCTATTGAATAACAGTATGTCAAATTAATAGAAACCCTTCTCTGATATTTTAACTAACCTGCATTTTTCAATAAAGTTTTGTCTTTTCACAGTAATATTGAACAGTTCTGCTGCTATTTCAAGCAGCTTCCATCTCTTGAACCTAAACCAAATAACAATGGCAAGAAAAATCACCACCCGAAAGGTCTCAATGGGAATGGGGAGGACATGTGAGTAGTCTTCAAATCATTATGTGTCTGTTGAAAGGATTGACTGATAATAAGTAAATAAATAGTGTTTCAATACATGGGAATTTGTGGATGATTCTTTCCATAAGTTTTTGCATATGAAAGAAAGAATTATATAATGTTGTATAATAAAAATAACTAATACAGTTTACCTACTCAAACTACTTTGACTTCTACTGAATATTATGCATGCTACCATACCAACAAAAATAATGAGACTTAGTTCTCAAATTAACTAAATTACAATAACTTGTAGCTTATATGATGGTCTCTTCTATTGAAAGAGGAAACAATCAACTGTATTTGGCTGGTTTTAAGTTAAATTCAGATTTGAAATTACCAGTCCTTAGTTGCTGCTAATTCTCAACTCTACTAATTGTGAGTTGAAATTATTCGTTTTAATAGTAACATTGCATTCTCACAGAATGTGTACAGTAGCACTGAATGCATTCACAAGTTGTATTGGAGTATGTATTCTTTGTACACATAGACTAACAACCTCATGGCCAGATGGTTAGGGTGTTCGACTTGCAGTCTGTGGGTCACAAGTTTGAATACCCATCCCATTATAATGTGTTGGTCAATCCCACTATTCATTGGTAAAAGAGTATCCCAAGAGTTGGCAGTAGGTGGTGATGACTAGCTGCCTTCCCTCTAGTCTTTCACTGCTAAATTAGGGGTGACTAGTGCAGATAGCCCTTGTGTAGCTTTGCAAAAACTTCAAAATGAATCAACCACCTAATGGAGATCTTACTAATCTTACTCACTCCTTCTAGCTTTAAGGATGTTAATTTTTGAATAACAAAAAAGAAACATTTATTCTTGAGAATGGCATTCTTAAAGTAAGGTAAATTTCTCATTCTAAAAACCAGTTGAAGTGAACAATCGATTTGAATTTGTCAATCAGCTGTGCCCAGAAGTGAAACCAACTTTTTAACATATTGAAATTATTGTCCTGTGTATAATATTATTATTAAAATAGTAATTTTTTTAAGAACATCAAAAATATAAAACTTTAAGAATGTCTCCTTTATTCAGTATTTCATGGAACTTATCAACTTGTTTTTAATTCAGCATATTTGTTCATGTTGTGAAATTTAACCTTTCATCATGTCATAAATGTTTAACCAAATCTATTATCAAATTAATATGGAAAGCAATTAAAATAAAACTGTGAAAATGGGCATATAACTCGGAAATGTTGATTTATGATATATACTTCAAAACTGTGTTGTACTTGTAAAATATTAAGAAAAAAAAAAGTTTGATTTGTTACTAAATGTAAGTTTACTGTTCATATACTGCAAAAATATTAGTGTAGAGTTTCACATTCAAAACTAGCTGGATGTACATCATTGATTATACATTGTAGAACTGGAGAAAATTTCTTTGTCATATCTTTCCTAAAATATTCTTAGTACAGTACATTTGTAATTTTTAATTGATAATAAATTGTAAATTAATTTTAATTAAGCTCAAATGTAATCCATTAAGATATGCCTTTTAAAACACAACGAACTGAGCTAAACTGTCTTCAGACTGATTAATCACAGGACTCTTGATTTAATTGCTCTTCATCTATCACCAACAATATTTATAAAATCTAAGACCTACAAAGTTCTCGTAAAATATTGTATTCATATAATATATGGTGAATTATACCGTTTATTTTAGATAGATTGACATATAATTAGCAATAGAAATTTGAAGTGAATATGTAATAAAATTTACCAGTTTCCAATTCATATGTTATTTTTTGTTAACTGCTTTAAAATATATTTAATTATATATATTTGTGTAATCCACCATATAAAATTCTGAGAAGTCTTAAACCTTTTTATCTTTTTCGCTTGCATAAGGAAATAATCAAAATTAACAATATTGTAAAATGTAAGAACATCCATGCTGGTTTTAATTTAGAACACATGTGCTCTATAAATTTCTTTAATATACCTGCCATCCTTCAGCTCCTTCATTACACTTTCTATTAAGGAAACTGTACTTCTAATATAATGAAACACACAAATATAGCTTTTGTGTTTACCAGAGGCAAGAAATTGTATGTCATTTACTTAGTTACATTTCTTTGTTATTCAGCATATTATATTGAATGTATGAGTAGCAAGGTAGAACAAAAAAAAAACACATACCATTGCAAACATGATCTAATTGTCTATTATAAATCACCAATGGAATCTAAATGTAACTATCTGGTAGAACTTTGTATAGCATTAATACTGTGATAAAGCTAAGACTAAAGTGTAGTTTTGGATTTGTAATACACCATTTCCAGTTAAAAGTCATCTTAATTCCTCGCTTACTTTTAACATTTCCAAATCATGTAGCACTCATATTCAGAATAACTGATTTTAACGTAAGATTCTAGAAGTATCACAAGATTACCTTCTAATTGTTCAGGTACATTCTTATCACTTACTGTACTGGATAAGGGCTAGCTTATTTTCTGTTTCACAAATGTCAATTGCACCTTTCTAAGAATAAAAGAAAATAATAATAATAATTAGAAAACAGTTATGTGATTAGTATTTTTTTTCTTCCTCTTTTGAAAGTTTCAAATGTCTCAACAAACGTTTAGCTTACCAGTCTTGTACTTTCTGAACATCGGATTTGGTACTCTATCAGTTTTCAAACATGATGTTTCTAGTTAAGAAAACATAAATTAAAGATGTTAGTAACATTTTGTATGGGTAACATGAAATTTGATGAGTATATTAATATTTTTCAATGTTAAAAAAAACTTTTACACAAAGACAAAACCATATGGTTGTAATACAGTATTTTAATAGACTACATTAAATGGTATAATTCAAAGTGCTGAAAGAATTATTACATCCAGCAGTTTAAATGCAAGGATATTATTGAAACCATTAAAGTATGTAACATGAGTATCTGCAAGCTAAGATATATATATATAACTGATTTTTAATTGATTTTTAGATCACATGAGCTAAATAAACAGAAACATTCAAAATAGTTAAAAATACGTAGAAAACATAAGGACTTCTTTTTACCAAACTGTTTTAATTTATCATATCTAATTTTGCAAAAAAAAACGTTCATTTGAGAATTTAGATTTGTGAGTACAGATTGGTCTAAGTTCAGAATTTCATTTAATAAAAGAGGTCTTTCTTATTTTCTATTACTTTTCTGTGATCAATTTAGATCTTTCTATAACCACACAGAACAGCTTTAAAATAACTATCAACTCTTAGATGTCATGAATTTCCATGATAGAACAAAGAAAACTTGTACTAGTTGTCAGAAACATTTTTTTTTTTATGAGTTAGTAACCTGATTGTGAAAATGCATGATTTTCTGTGTTTTAAAATTTTTAAATGATTTTCTTGACTTCCCTGTTTTTACACTGACTCTATGACCATTTAATAAATGTCCTTACTCTTGTTATCTTCTGTATGACTGATTATATTGACGATTGATTGTATTTATGAAGCTTTTAATTTGTTTATTAATGTAAACACTTCTAAAACTCTTTAAGGCTTCTATGTGAAGAACTTAGAAAAACATTAATATCCTTATGGCAAGGAAGTAAAACGGCCATTTCACCAGAATCATTATTTGCAGTTGTATGGAAAGTAGTGCCACGGTTCAGGTAATTTGTTTTTCATAGTCCATTTATTTTAGAATTATAAAAGTGTAAACTAACATACATTATTTTTATTATTCATTTTACTAACTATGTTTGTTTTAACTGTCCAGTCATTCTTTTCAGACTTGTTAGGGTGGGTTATAGGTTACCCTAGGCAGTGAGGTGTAAATGGCCATAAAAAGTTCTTTCTTTTTAGGTTTTAGTGATGAAATACATTTATTGATTTGTTGTATTTCAGTATATTTTCAGGCTCAAAAATTTTCATTTTAATGACTAACATCCTTTGAATTTTGTTTTTCCAATCAAATGTTACTGTTACTTGTTTAAGTTCACATGCTCCTTTGCTTTTCTAAGATTATAGTTCTCTAAACAAGGTGTCGTATGTTTAAAAAAATTAAACTATTACTGAAGGTTGTAATATGTTAATGTTTAGTTGTGCAGATTATAAATATTTTATAACAGTATTTTGAGGTTGAGATTGAAATGTGATTCTAAGTCAGCACCATAATTACACAAACAAAATGCATTAAGTCCCAAACTTAATAAACTCCAAAAATTGGATTCTGCAATGTCATCTTCTTCAGCGTAATGAACAGAAAGATTTTATTTTTTAAACTAGATCCAATGTACCATAACATTTTTAAGTATACCTATATACAAATTTTAGAATTAGTTGAAGCTATAACATTACTCTTAGTATTTTTCACTAGGGACTACAACAGTCAGTTCTCATTCAGTTTGTTGTGTTTAATCTAGTTTTAAAAAATCTTTCTCTTTGTCATAATGTGGAAAATTTGATGGCAGAATCCAGTTTTTCTAGTTTATTGAATTTTGAATTTAATGCTTTTTTTAAATCACAAAACAAAATTATCTGTTCATCCAGGTTTTTATCTATCTTTACAGAAGCAGGTCTTAGGGTGAATTTCTTAAGTAAATTGACAGCTACTACTATTAAGCCGTGTTTCATATTTTGTAGCATTTTAATGTTTTACTTCAAACATTTGTGATCATTTCAATTTTTTTTCTGTTTTTCATTTATTAAGATGAAATATATTAAACTAAATTGAACTTGAAAGAAAATTAATAATAATAAAGTATGGCAGTAAATATCAATGTCGTAACAATAAAAAAGAAGAATGTTTGGAAATGAATTGGGTTGATCAGTCATTGCAGAGATAATGAATAGTATCTCTTGTCCTGAATTTCAGAGGTTATCAACAACAAGATGCTCATGAATTCCTGCGCTACATGTTAGACAGACTACATATGGAACTTCTTAATATCCTTCCTTATCCAACAACACACAATCCTATCTGCATTGGACTTAAAGGAAAATGTACAATAGTTACAGCAATTTTTGGGGGAGTCTTACAAAATGAGATGAACTGTCTTGTTTGTGGAACCGAATCTAAAAAACATGATCCTTTCCTAGGTAAGAAGTACATTATATACTACAGAAGTTTAATTTATACTAAAACAATTTTGGATCTTTACTACATCATTATAGTCAATGTCGTCATGCTCTGTCTACTTAATGACCATGCATCTTGAAAATAACTTTGCAGTGTAGTTTCCATTGCAAAAGGTTCCATTATAAGGCTGTAATGTTCAAAATACACTGATTCTCTCTACATGTTTTTCATTATTCATCTATTCTATGAGGTTAATGGTTTCTCATTGCTCATTACAACAGTCCAATAACACAGAAATCCACAATGAGCACTGCACCTAGGGACTTGAGCAATATGTCTTTGCACATAATAGCATGAATACACATTTCATTTTCCAGCTGCTTGAGGGATGTGACATGAACAAATATTTCTTGAAAAAAATTGTGTACACATGACTTTTGTTGCTTTTCCAGAAATCTGTCTTGATTATGGTGCATACTATTGCCTGGGACACTTGGAAGACTTTTGCCTTTGTGATTGTGGATTCTTGCTCGTAAGATGCCACACATTGCTTACCATGGCTGGGTTTATGACTTGTTGCAGGTCTCTTTATGGGTGGTCCTGATGCCCTAAGTTTATCCATATTCCTTTGTTTTCCAATGTCATTAAGTTCAAGAGAGATTCCTGTCTTGGAAGTTCTAAGTACCATATCTGAATACACATTTATGATCTGAGAGTATGAATATTTTGCATGAGAGATTTCTGTTACCCTTCCCAAAATTGATCAATTTTCAGTGGTATCAGTCTACCTACAAAATGCTAAACAATGTCAAACCAGTTCTGATGTGCATAGTTTCACCACTATTTTATATCACTTCTGGTTGTCATGTGACTTGCTGATTTACCTATTCAAAGTTGTTTTAATATAATGTACTAAAACATCTGTATTTGTATTTTTGTAATATTTGACATTTTTGAATTAATTCAAAAAGTATATATATTTACAAATGTGAGAGAGAGAGAGAGAAGTATTTGTCAATGAATGTCACTTCAGTCAGTTAATTTAATATTTTTAAGGTGGTTTTCATTTTTCACAAATTTCATAAACACTTGTTTACTAATAAAGCATAAATGCTGAGGATTTGTTGGGGAGGGGGTTAATAGTAACAAAAAATATTCCCAAAATTATTTTTAAATTTTTCACAAAGAAATTTTATTTGACTCTGTGGTTTGTAACATAATTTAGTTTTTAAAACTTTTTTTTTAATATATTGTAGACTTAAATATACATCATGCATTAATAAGTTAGAATAAATTTTCAAAAATCGTATTTCAGACCTATCTTTAGACATTCCATATCAATATAAGCAACCAAAGTCAAAAGATGAAGAACCGCCACCTTTTCATTTACATGGTGAGTTTTTATACTTCCTTAAATAATTAATGTTAAATAATGATATGGTACATTAAATGACATTTGAATTGTAGAATGAGAAAAATATGAATCAAATGTCTTGCACGTGGTTATTGAGCATCCTCTAAATTAACATCTTTATTTTTGAAACTTAAGAATGCTCAAAATGTGGCTTAAAATGACTTAATAGCATACAAATGCTATATCCAGTTTTAGGATATATCAAGTTTTTGATTTACAGGTATTTATAAATTTTCATTTTGTTTTGAGATCTTAAGAAAGAAATTGATGTATGGGAAATCATTAACCCAATTATGTAATGATTATTATGAAATAAAATATTTGATTTTTTTTCCCACATCTAAGTAAATAAGACTGTTACAGAACAAGATATTCTTTGTCATTATTTAAATTTTTATTGATAATCTCATTAAAAAAAGTTTTATTTCAAAGTAAGTGCAGAAGGTTGTAAGAAAATTGTCCTTTGTAATGTCATTTGTTGAAAGTCATTATAACAAGAAAATTAAAAAGTACGATTTAAGTGATTATTTGACTAATGTTCTTGAAACTGTATTTTTTTCAGGAATATGTATATTTATTTTGAACTATGTAAATACTTATGTATTTTCTTTTCTGATTTTTATTCTAAGTGCAGACAATATCGCATAAATGTTTATTTCAAATAATTTAAGTTACAACATTTGTCAGTTCAAACTAGCATTTTGTTACACCACCATAATTTCTACCAAAAGTGGTTTGAGTGAGAAAGGACTGAAGTTTGCTGTTAAAATTATATCACTACATTCATAGTTTTGAAGATGTTTTTTTGTCCTATTTCTATTAGTTTTTTAAATGAAAAAAATTTGTTTGTATATAATTTTTGTATACCGTAACTACATTTTTTGCCACTTACACCCGCTTCAAAAGATATTAGTTCAGGTTACTGAGTGTTTTACATTTTACAACTAGTACATTTTTCTTTTCTAATTGTTGTTTAGCTGATAAAAACTAATTACATGAGGTTAACTGTTGAAAGGTTGAATGGCCTGCTGTCATTTTTCTCATACTTTGTGTTCTTTTTACAAGTTTTTAATCTGAAGTTAGCTAGGATTATAAAGAATTATCTTGAGGATTATATTATTGCATCATGTATCAAAATTTAATTCTTGTTAATTTTTTTTTTCTTGATGTTAACTTCCCATGCTATATTATACACTGATTAATGTTATTAAATATAGGGTTTTATAACCATCCATTATTTTTGTAGAATGTTTGAGTAGGTTTACGGAATTAGAAGAGCTGGCAGACAGTGAGCTTTACTATTGCCACTCCTGTAAATGTAAACAGAGATCAACTAAGAGGTTTTGGATTCGACGACTTCCAAATGTAAGGCTTTTTTGTAAATACCTTTGCTGTAATATATTTACCAATTGCTTTTGATTTTAGAACCGAAAGATTTCAACTAATTTTACTGTGTTTTTGGTTTTAACTAAAATTATGAACAGTTAAGGATTTTCAGAACTTTGGCATTCAATTATACTCAGTTCTGATAGCTAGACAAAAATATGTGATGTTAGTTCAAACAAGTTTTATACATTAGGTACCTTTCAGTTTCCTATAAGAGTGTATTACACTTCAAAAGGCAAAATTCTGTAATTTTTTGTTAACATTTATAAAATAAATAAGTATATTAAATATACAATATGCATTTTTTTTTCTCTTTGAAAAACAAGAAATAGCTTTACACAACCATTAAGGCTGTTTGTGTTAAATTCACTTGAAGACTGAAGAGCTTGTTAAAATATTTTTTTACAAATAACTGAACATTGTATTTTTTAGGCTGAGTTTCTCCTGCCAAAGTAATTCTGGTGATAACAGTAATAAACCTAACACCACTATATTTTTAGAAGCAAACATTATACAGTGTGACTCAAAAATATTAGACTTGGAAACTCAATATTAAGGACTACTTAAGAACAAAATTAATTTTTGGACATGAAAACTTCATATTGTGTGGTTCACCTTCTTTAGGCAGCAGTAGCATCAGAAATTATACTTTAAAATGTTGGAAAAACTCACAGACTTGTGTAAGGTTTTTAACATAGGTGTGGCACGTCTGCACTGAAGAGTAGATTAGCATAAATGCAACATGATTTGAAATAAAAACATCAGATTGATTAAAGAGTTTCTACACAGCAAAGCTACTACACTAAAATTTGAAAATATTGAAGATTTGAAACTAAATAATACAACAATAAACAAAATATAAGTTTTTACAAATTTGCACTTTCAGGTTTTATTGACAGTTATGATGTTTAAGGCTCATAATATTGGTTACTAAATATTGAGAAAGTGTTAACACATTTTATACATTACTAAAACTTAATGTAGTGAGTATTTAGCTGTGTTTCACTAAATGTGATCAGCTTTAACAAAACTGGGTTAGTTTTTTGATTCAATGTTTTATTGGTTCTGTCCCATGATGGGAAAATAGTAAGTCTATGTATAAACTTACAATGCTAAAATCCGGGGTTCGATTACTCACAGTGGACACAGCAGGTAGCCTAATGTGGCTCTGCTCTAAAACAAACATAATTTATCAGTTCTTAGTGTCCTCAGAGTTGAAGATTAAGTATAACATCACAATATTCTTATCATTATGTGACATTTTAATAGATATATGAACAAAATTATCATGATACAATTTGTATTTACTACTTATTTTAGTTTTAGATTCATGTCAAAATTATTCAAGTTATAGGGGAATTTATGCTAGAAATTAGAACTATTTCAATGAATATATATTTTGACAAAAAATTAAGGCTTGAGAAAATTAGTTGAAAGTATATTAAAAATATTTAATAAACACAGTTCTTAATAATTCCATTTCTTTTAGGTTTTATGTCTACATCTGAAACGATTTAGGTGGAATAATTTTTTTCGAATTAAACTGGACAATTATGTGAAATTCCCAGTTAAAGGCTTAGACATGAGCAGATTCATGCTGGCTAATATGGTAATGGATTTTCATTATGTGTTGTATAGATTAAATAAATTTGAAGAGTAGCCAATACTTTAATTCTCAAGTGACAGTTTTATGTTAATCAACAAAATGTTATACTTAGTGTTAGATTTTCTTTTGTAGTCAGCTTTATGTTTGTAAAATGCATATTAATTACGTATGAAAACAAAAATAGTACAATTAAATATGTCTGCAAAAGATTTGTCTTTTTTTTGTTGTATAAACGACTTGTTTATATACATTGCAGTAATGTAAAAGTTTGTTTCATCAATACCCTCATCCACATGGCCCATTGACATAAATTGTTAAAATCTTTCAGTAAAGATTTAGGGAGTCTGAAATAAGTTTACTTAATTTCATCAAAAAACAATCTATTAAGATTTTTTCTTTTCATCAGTATCTTTTTAATTATATTTTTATTGTAAGTAAAACTGCACATGTTGAATGTTGGAGAAACAATCATAAAGTAAATCTTAGACGTAAAAAACATGTGTATAGTTCTGTAGGTACAAGAATACTGAATTACATTTCCTGTTTCAGCATGAAACACGAAGAAGCTCTGGAGGTTGTATGCTATATGATTTGGCAGCCGTAATAGTGCATCATGGATCAGGGTATGTGTTTGTATTATAAAACTCAAAATTTGGTGAAAATTAATTTGAAAAATGTTTAATAGAAAACATTTTTATTTTCTTGGTGGTTTTCTTTTTGTTTTCAAATTTTTATTCAATGACTGTCTAACAATAAGGTATTCAGACAAGTAATTTATTGCAAAGAAATGACCTTTAGGTAGGTTAAACTTTGATAAATTCAATGCTCAGACCTACTATATATGGAAATAAGTTTGTGTACATTTAAAAGTGAAATTAAAGTAAGTTAGGAAATGGATATAACACTGGCTAAAAAATGCATAACTTATAAGTTTTGATCTGCATACTGCTAAAACTGTATGACTCAGACCTTGACAAATATTTTCAGATCTAAGAGCCAGGTGTGCCTAACCTGACGTCACTACTGTTTATAATGGGAAATGGGGCTAAACTAGTGCCTCGATTATTCATGCTTCCGTTATTCACGAACCTTGGTTATCTGTGGTTTTTCTCTTCCTCAATTTTTCTCAAAATAATTGTGCCATTACAATTCTAGACAATAATTTACATGTTTTGGAGAAAACTCAGAAATCATTTTTGGTTACTAAAGTTCAGGTGTTGCATGATATCCAGGATTTTCTTGTGCAGTATCTGACGTGCATTCAAATCATAAATCAGCTGATTCAAGCCTAGCCTTGCCTCTTATTTGTAGCTGTTAAGACAAATTTACAAAATATTTGTAACTTGGTTAAATTTATTTGATTGGTGATTAGAAACATAGTATACAAAAACACACAAAATACTCATTAAGATTTCTTAAAGATTTTATTCAACTTCGGTTGTCATCTGCTGTTCTTTGCTGCATGGCAGGCTTCCTTTAACCACAGATGCATGTTTGGGTTGTGTTGGAGTATTGCACAGTTATGCATTGTCCTCTTTCTTAGATAATTGGTATCTTCAGTTTGTTTTAACAAAGGCTTTTTCATAATAATTCCCAACCACAGATTTGCACTAAGTTTGACATATTTTTCACAGGTGTTAATAGGGTATGAATGCACTTCTGTGTCAAAAGCAGGAAAAGTGCCGAAATTTATGAGATATTTACACCTGTGTTGGCAATTAAATACAACTGAAACAAGAACGGGCAATCGTGAGGAAGTATAATAGGAGAAAAAGTGGATTTGGACTCATATAATTCATGAAATTCGGAGGATTAAATGTGATTAAATGACAGTAAAAAAAGATTGTAATTTAAAGTAAGAAACTTAAATATATTGAACAATTTTATTTAGATTAAACAATGGGCTAACTAATGCCTAGATTATCTGCTGTTTCTGTTTATGTATTTTTTGCTTTCCCCAGACCAGCACAGATAATCGAGGCACCAGTGTATATTTATGTACTTTCACAGCAACGAGTGCATGCTAACAATCACATCATATCAACAACCACTTGATAGTATTGCATGAACTAACTGCCTTTGGTCCCGCCTGACTCTAAACAAGCACACTGGTTGAATTGAGAGAAAGAAGAAAAACAAAATGGTGCAAAATTAGTAATGTGTTGTGTGATCGCAGTTCTTCATTTCTGAAAAAAACATGAAGTGCTGAATCGGCCATTAAAATTGTAGAAACAAAGGATGATTTAGGACTCAAAGAACATGAAAACTAGTTCTGGACTTCTAAGAGTCCAGAACAGTTCTATTTAACACTGCTCTACGTATGAATAAAACAAGAGAAAATATTAGGCAACACAACAAAATTTTTAGTCACTGTGGTGACCTGGCATCCAGGATTTGTTGAGGCCTAATATAACCCATAACTTTATTTTACAGTTTATATGACATAATTGTGTGTTATAGTTAGATCTGATTATATAATCACCAAAAAGAACCTGTTATTACAACTACTGTATCAAAATCCAAGTGTCTTAGAGTTATCAATAAATGAACTTAGTATTACAGTTGATGTATTAGAATGTGATTCTTCAGATCACTGTATCAGAGAACAACTGCATAATAATAAGTGTATTAGAACTTTAATTCCTCTCATGTGTTATTGCTAATTAGGTTTGATTATTTATCAAGCTATATGTTAAAGCTTATCAAATACTGAAGATCAAACTTCCTGGACTTGCATGGTTTCAGTAACATAAAAATTGTGTACAAAGTCACAAGTTAGTCAGTAGGTAATAATTCTAAAATCTCATTTAGTGTATCCTATAGTATTGGAAATAATTATGGAAATAATGAATTAAATGTAAATATTGTGGAGTTGCCACCCCACCCCCTCTATTGTATGAAATAAATTATCAAGCATATATAAATTGAATTTTGATTGGTAAAGGCTATTCTGTGCAATAGATTTACGCAAAATTTCATGTTTTGTAGGAGCTGTATGAAATCTTTAAAGAGGCTACATGAAACTATTACTGTTGGTAATAGAAGTTGTAAATCTAGAAAGTCCAAACTGTTAAAAAATAATGCTAAGTAACGTGGGTTATCTCCTTTACATGATAATCCAATAGAGATTTTGTTAAGGACATGTAAATACCAATGTAAGTATTATCTCCAGAACAGTAATGGAATACATTAGCATGGAGTGTCCTCAATGAATGTGTGTAGCTACTCAGAAATCACTTCTTAAGAAAGATAACTAAGCCAAAAGATTGAAATGGACATTAGACTTACAACAAGGAGATGAGCATAGTTAGAGGATGATACTCTGTACAGGTGAATTTGAATTGTTTGGTAATAACAGTTAAAAATAGTTTCTTCAATGTTAATATCTACAGTGAAGCACACTTGGGTTGGGATCAATATGTATGGACTCTGTCTCAGCCATTGGTACTGAGAGTCCTACACAAAAATGATGGCACCCTGACTGCTGACAGATACAAGCCAAGTCTTATCCATCATGCCATTCCTTCTGTAAAAAAGTCCCCATATGAATATTGTTAAAGCTGTATGGGCTTATAAGGAAACTGAGAAGGTCAAATGGCAACCAAACAACTTGGTAATCAGGCAGGACACTTAAAACAGTATTTCACAATCATACATTGAAAACTAATTATAACAGAAATTAGGTGAACTGCTCTGTTTAAAGCAATTGTAAAGCACTAGTGCACTGTACAACTTACTTGCTTTTCTTTTTGTATTTTCTGTTACAATGTATTTTGCTGATGATAAATTGACCGTTTAGTTACAACTACTGGTTGTCTTGTGCATTTCCATAAATACTTCCAATATTGTATGTTGAATTTTTTTCCAGAAAAATATTTTTATCTACAAAATTTAAGTTACTATGGTCAAACTAAATTGATTCATAATGTTTCTAGGTGACCAAGTGTATAGATCACATTAACAAGCTGATTAGACTTTTAGGGTATTATCAAATTTGTCTGGCATGAAGCTGTTTTTGCCAGTTTAAATCACAAATTATTGTCATCACTATATTTTCAGTTTACAGTCTGAATAATACCTTCATTTCTGACATTCCATTTAACAAAAACTATCAATGTATAAAATATGTTTTTTTCTAGTATACGTAAATATAACAGTTAAGATCAAGGGGAAAACCTCAGGAAATTTTAGTAAAATTGTTTGTTATATAAAATATCTTTAGAAGTATGGACAAAAACAGTTATGGTGTTCAAAATAGTAAATCACATGTTTTTCAAATAGTTTTATTGTATTTTGTTTAGGGCTGGTTCTGGACACTATACATCTTATGCAACACATTCAGGTATATTTTAACTTTTCATTTATAACTTTGAGCATTTTATCATGCATATATAATAAGCTTAAGTGCTTCAGGCTGGTTTGTCCATGACCGTAGTCTTAGTTAATATTTTACTTGTTTGTTTGTTTTTCTATTAGAATAGAAATCTGAGCTTTCTCTTTTACTTCAGAAATCAAAATTTATATGAAAATGTAGAAATAAAAGATAAACTTCCAGTGTTGTATAAAGTACAATTTACCTGATAGTAGTTGCTGAATTGATCTCAGTCTTTCGTTTTACTTTTATGTTAAAAAAATTAATTTTGACATTTTACAATTTCAGTAATATTGGAAGATTATAGTTAAACCTTTTATCCACCTTAAAGCTTATGATAATTATGTCTTCAAATATGGAAAAGTTAAATTACTTCAGTGTTTGCTAATATAAGCTTATAAGCACTGCATATACTTGTATATCTTTCTGATGTACTAAAAAAGGTAACATTACGCTGATGTAATTTTTTAAATATTGGTTTCTTAGTTCAGGATATTGTTTACTATCATTGAAGTAGTGTTTGAGGTTAGGAACTGTAGATGATTTTAAAAAACTACAGAAAAAATGGAATAACTATGAAACAAAATATTTTCATAAAGATGCTGTTGTTCCCAAATAAATTTTCGTATTCTGGCTGATAGAAAAGATTACAGAAATATTTTTCAATCTTCTCTCTTGTTCATTAACTAAAATTTTGTGTATAGTATGTGGTAACTTTAAATTTAATTTGCATGTAACATTAAAACGAACAAAATGTGTTAATTTTTTTAGATTTAGTTAATAAAAATATGTAGTGTTATTTCATATTGAATACTTTTCTTTTTTGGCTTGGTTTTTAATAGTTGTATTTTTTATCTTCCTAAGGATGCTGGCATCACTTCAATGATAGCACTGTTACAATATGTGATGAGGAAACAGTAGCAAACTGCAAAGCTTACATCTTATTTTACATTCGACGAGAAGTGAACCTAGCACCTTTTAGCCTATAAAAAAACAATTTTTATGTATTTAAGTTTCGTGGTCCATAACCCAACTAGAATAGGCTATAAACGAAAGCTCCCTTCCTAAAATGTCAATATTCTACAGTTTTCTGATCACAGCAAAATTAGTGTGCAGGATTTGGAGTTTCTTCTTATTTTGTAATGTGATTAGAAAACAGCTGTGGAGCTTTTTTTTTCTTTAATATCTATCAAGCCATGATGTAATTCTGTTCATATTTATACTGTAAAAAAAAAACTTTTCTTTAAACTTTCAACCAGGTACAGTGCAGTAAGAAACTTGTGGTTATTTAACTTAACAGATATTGAAACCCCATCTCTTTGACAAAGAATTTGATTCTGTTTCTACAATGATGATTTCTAATTCGGTGTTTGGCGTTCAAAATATGAATTACAAAATGTAAGTAAATAAAAAATATTCTAAATTAACCACATTTATGAATTAAAAAGACAGTTTTAATTATTAAATATTGAAAATATAAAATTGGTGCACTGTTAATGCTTATCATATTCTCAATTTCATATACACAAATTATGTTAAGTAAATATATATACTGCAATCAATGGTTGATTCAACAGAATCAAACCAAGTTATATAACATAGTTTCATGGCAATCTTTGCTACATCTTGGCAGGGATTTCAAGGACAACCAAGTACTCACATTTTTTTCCTGTAATTGTGCCTTTCTCCCCATGTTCTGGTAGTTTAAATCTTAAATACAATGAATGTAGTTGTTAGTTCAGAATTCAGCATCAGCTTAAGATCAGTGTGTTAATAATTTATGAAAATGAGATTCCCCCTCCCCAATCCAAGTCTCAGAATGTTTTCAAAGTTGATGTTCATTTTTCAGTTATAGGTCATTTATTGAAAAAATAGTCTTGTTCATTTCATTTACTAATATACTGTTATTTTTTTCTTTTTTGGAGGGAGAAGGGTGGGGCATATTTTATGTAATTTTTCTTACAACACATATCCTCCTCCTGAGCCAAAATTGTATTTCAACTGAATTGCCTAAAAATAGCAGATTAATGGCCTTATTAACACTGAGGGTGATTTAAATGTCGAAAATTAGAAGTTCATACAATCTATATAGGTTTTATAATGCCAGTTGTAGTAGGTGGTCTTAAATTATTAACATTTGTATGATTTTCGAGTTAATATTAAGCATTTAAGTTACAATTAAAGCACTGAAAAGCAGGTCTCAAATCACAAACTAAAGCAGTTTTGGAAACTAAATGTGTGTGTGAAATTACAAAATTTACTGTTTGCTTTTTTCAAGATATTTTTTTTTACTGCACTGCACATTCATTTTCTTTATATATTAGTTTATTTCACAACTTGTTCAGCTGAAATAGTAACGTTTCTTTTCTTTAAAGTTCAATTTCAAAATAGTACTATTACAATGAACACTGTTATTAAAAGCATTGTTAAATAATAGAAACATCCTGAAAAGTCAAGGTTATTCTCACTCATGGAACTTTTCTGAAACTTTAATAACAAAATATTTATATATATTTCACAATTATTGGTATTACTTTTCAGTTAGGTGTAGTTCACTTAGTCTGGTATATTAATTTGTCATTTTTTTATTGTAGACATCTAATGTGTTTGTATAACAGAATATTCATTAGAAAATGCTTGAACAAAAGGTTTAATTATGTGCATTAAGAATACTACAGAGACTTGCATTTATAAATGCATTTTTTGCTTTGATGACAATATCTTTCTTCTATTAAATATAAAACTGGCATCTGCCTGTTTCTATAAGTTTTAAGTTAACAGTTGTTATTCACTGGCTAGCTGAATACTTGACCTTCATGTAGCTGATGTTAAAAAGAGCAATATTATCTAGATTTTTGAAATTATTAAAATCACAATTCTGGTTATCTCTTGGGAAACATTTAAGTGTATACTCAAACATTTCTTAACACATACAATTCGTTGTAACTAATTCCAGTATCAGTTTTAATATATAGCAGATAAAAAGCTGCTTCCATAACTTTACAATCTGCTGAAGAAACCACCTGTAAAGGGTTAAATAATGCTGCTATAATAATGTCATCATAAGGTGTAATTTTATAATTCAGGTTCAGGGAACAGTAACAGCAGATATGTTATTATCTGTTATAGCCAAATGGAAATTACTTAGAAGTCATCAAGAAGTTGGGAGAAATGGGCAATCTAACTTTTACTTACCCTAAGTTCTTAAGGTAGTTTTAAGTTGTTGGATTTAATTTTAAAAGGAACCTACTTTTTAACAGCAATTTATTTTTGCAGTTTTATAAAAAATGGTGTGTGTGTGTCTGTATGTATGTGAAATGATCATATGTATGAAGATTTTTTGTAGTTTGGTAAGGTTTTTGATGTAACATTAGAAAAAAAAAAGATTCCTTGATTTTTTTTTTTAATCCATTATTAAAGACACTAAAAGTTCACAAGTATGTCTGTTACAAATATATAGCAAGATTTAGTTGTATCCAAAAATGTAGAATCATGAGGTAAAATGTCTTTGTATGTGAACTTTTCTTTCCTTTTATTTAAAGGTGCCAGTACTTTTCAAATGCAGGTTCAACTGGAGAATTTAGAGGGTAAATGATTTGCCTTTTTTGTTGTTGTTGTTGAAACAATAGTCGCTTAATTCATTTGTTAAGTGTTTTAAATAATTTCAAATTCAACGTTAGTAATTTGTTGGTGATTAGGGTAAGCAGCAAAATAGGTCAGTTAAAACTTTAGGTGCAGATTTCAGACCTTAAAATCATGGTTCCTCTTTTTCTTTGAATTAAGATGGATCAAAGGATGTGTGTTTGTCTCTCTCTCTAAGTAGTAGTACTGTATCATGAACTCGTATTGTGAAAACAATATTACTTGTACATTGAACAACAATCTGTAAAATATTTTTGCAGTAAAGGTAATAAAATGCTGTATGCTTATCAGGTGCATATTCATGAATTTTGTTGTTTAACTGTACTTGATGTTTATTTCTGTCAAATGCATTTTCCCCTGTAAGCAGTAAAAATGATGGTAAAAAAATAAACTCATTTTTAACTAGTACTCAAAACCACAGGTATAGTTTAGGTATGCCGTATTTTATGAATCTACAGACTTGTATCTTGATTTAAGTAGTTCAAACCTCCAAAACATGCGCTTGATTGAGTTGTACTTTTAATTAAAATTTGGAGTTTGACATGATAATTTTCAAAAACGGTCTTAGATTCATTTATCAATAGTTAAAGTTTTTTTATATATATTTTTTGAAGGTGTAAATGAATCTTTAAACATTAATCAGAAAATATAAACATCTGAAAAGTTGTACCATGCTTGTAAACAGGTCTTTATTATTTGTTTTAAGGCAAAACATTTATATTTTGTTTTTCAACAAAAATGCTCATATGGTTGGTTTCATTGCTAGTTTGGCTTCTACCTTAAAATGAAGTTTTTTTGCTGTTACCCGAGACCAAATCAATTTGGGAATCTGGGAAAGGACCCTTCCTAGAACATTTTTAAATTTTATTGTTTATTTATAGGAACTATAAACGTCTATAAAACCCACAGTATGAGCCTTTATAGTTTCAAGTACCTAAAATGTTACGAAATATCAGAGCATGGTACTGGCTTTCAGAAGCTGCTCGACTTGATTTTTTCAGAACTGCCAAGTATAAAGTTTAGTAGGAGACTCCCATATCCCTGCAGATTGTGTCTAGATGTAATCTCCCAAGTTATGCAGTCTGCCAGTGAATAGTCGTGGCCTTCGAGTTTGATAAAATAGTAACAGTAATACCGGTAACTTGTCATAAGCATAAATAGCACCGTATTAATATGTAACTTTGTGGCTGTGAGAGTGAAAAAATGTCCTTATTGGTAAGAGCGCAATTTATAGTAATTCATATTCCTTAAGAACGTCCATTATCTTATTCTTTGTTCATGTTTAATTTTTGTCGATTTTAACTGCACCAGTAGCTGAATGATACCAAGTTGTTTTACGAATAGCAATGGTCGCCTTTAGATAAAGAAACATAATGATAGTACGGTGTAAAGCAAAAGTAATTCATAAAAAACCTCAATGTATATGTTTACGTATGGCAAAATTAATTTTTTCTTCCCAGATATTTGATTAACACTTACTCCCACAAATCATCCATTATAACTGTTGATTTGCAAATAACACTTTGCTTTTATCTTTTCACTTTTAAAGACCTTCAGTTTCTCCTTTATTATCTGAATGTGCTATCAAAGATCGATGTGTAATTATCTGTATGCACGTCTCTCATGTTCTGTTGTGAAAATGCACAGCTGTTTCAGCGCATTTAGAGACCTGGGGAGAAAAGTAGCTTCAAATCATCTTCACTAACACTTAATCATCTGTTGTTTTGATGATCGCTTCAATTTTGGGTATTATTTCCGGTGCCTGCTGGGTGGCAGTAGGATGTTCTTGACGCAAGTTCAAACTATCGGAACTATTTAAATATTGAAAACCCTACAAAAACAAGGCAGTACTATGATGGGAAAGCTATGGACTATGTTAGACAAGTGGTCTATACTCTAGAGCAGTGTTTACCCAAATGCCGTTCCGCGAACCGTTACTGGTTCTTCAATTAATTTCTACCGGTCTGCAACATGTCTTTGCTGTTGAAAGCACTGACACGTAGTTGCGTTTTTTCGTGTTTTTCTTTAATATTTGATGACCAAACGTCGCCTAAGTTCTTTTCTCCAAATTTTTTTTTGGAATTTTACCGGTCCGTGATTGCCCAAAATCTGGGCACCACTGCTCTAGAGCAGGGTTCTCCAAACCTTTTTGAACAAGGGCCGAGAGGTAGATCTTTTTAGACTTTGTTGGCCGGAGGGGTCGTGGTAAAATTAAGTCGGGATACCTTCACGATAAGATTGGCTTATGCTCAATTACTTTTGTTTTTATTATATTAAAAAAAATTTACTTTAATAAACTGTTGGCGGGCCGGATAAACCGAAGTCGCGGTCCGTAGTTTGGAGACCTCTGCTCTAGAGTACTGAGACATGGTCAGCTATCTCATTTAATGACCACTGTCTGTACGACATAGCCTTAGGAATCGTCAGTCAACAGCCGATGAGCTTAATATGGATTTCAAGAAAATAACTGGAGTGAGTGTCGGAACAAAGCGTAAAGAACAGGCGCAAACTCGAGAAGGCCTGCAGTTGGTCGCAGAGCACCACAAAGCTTCTTTGGACTTCTGTCGAAATAACCAAAATTTGAAGCAGAAACAACATTGGGCGCATGTACTTTTCTCAGATGAATCATAACTTTGTATCTATACCAGTAATCTACGAATTCACATCTGAAGAGCCAGAAGCAAACAATACGCTTGAATATGACGGTTTCGTTGGCGGTTCAGATATAGTGTGGGGAGGGGGTGGACATTGTGAATTGATGAACACATTGTATTGTGCTTCTGAGGGGATTTACCGTTTGACGATATACAATCTTTTCCATGTGTTATGAGATCAAACTGTACTGGTGCAGGATTGTGATGAATACAATACCTTGAAGAAGAACTACGTGAGCTATAAGCAAGAAATCCAATAGAACCTTCTTGGACTCCATTTATGTCGAAGTAGCTTGGCATTATCAAGATTGACTCGGGATCTTGTATAGTTATTTAGCGATCGATCAGAAGTATTCTTGTAAATGCCAAGGGTATACCTGTCAGTGAACATTTAATTTTGTCAAAGTTGATTCTGTTCAACTTTAAACATACTTTTAAAGTAATATTTATTAAACTGAAGAACTATTTGACTTTAAAATCTTGTTCCTATAAATATTCATTTGCTTTATTTAATAGAAAGATTACCTTGTATTGGCCACACCACTTACACATGAAAAGAGTTTACGAGTAGGAGTTAAACATTTTTAGTTTGATATACATACATAATACAGTGTTTATCGCAAGTACCTTAGGAACACGTTTTACAACTTTAATAATGAAAATAAAGATTTAAAATGATACCAAATATGCTGTAATTTGGTTATTCCAGAATCGACGTTCACTCTCTTTTCAAACCCCCAGTGGCACAGCGGCATGTCTACGGACTTACAACGTTAGACACCAGGTTTCGATACTCGTGGTGGGCAAAGCACAGATAGCCCATTGTGTAGCTTTGTGCTTAACTTCAAACAAACAAAACAAGCTCTTTTCATATAAATTCGAAGTTGAACTATTTACTCTGGACTGTACGGGTATGGATTCGTATCATGGTTGAAAGTCCTTCCAAATGTTAAATTGGGTATTATGAAGAATGAAAAAGTCACAGGCAATCAGCCTGTATTTTGAAACCATTAACATAACTTTCTGACATAAAAACATTCCTCAGCTAATGTATAGAGGGTCATTAAAATAAAATTACAAAGTTTAATAATAATAATCTGATTTACCATGTCATTAAGAAACTCATTCTAGCATACACATTACTACGGTTATCTTTTATTCAACATCTAAAGGTGAAAGCTCTGGTCAATGATCACCTGGTTCCTGACATCATAGCCTGGATTTGTTGACTTATAAAGATAATTAGGGACGTCATATAATCAGACGCCAAAGTAAAATATACGTGTAACTTCAATAGTTTCGTGATAGTGTTATCAACATGGTACTCATTACGGTACAAAAAAAAACGCTCAAGTGTAATTATTTTCGTTTGATTTCGAAAGCTCACAAATTAAGTGGAATTTCAAGTGTTGATTACTTTATACGTAAAATATTTTAATACCACTAATCATACAAAAAATACGTTCTCTTAAACTGTTTAACACACAGCAATCAAAACTTGCGTGCATCACGAAACTGTGGTTCACGTGCTCTTCCTACCTTCAACGAGGAAACTTTTTGTTTCGCGGTGTATATTTGGTAATTTTGGAAGAGTCCACGACATTGTATTATCACGAAGTGTGATTTTATGCAAAGTTATAAACCTGCACATGTCAAAATGTCTGAAAACAGAATGTTCTTTATTTTGCAGCTTGGGGTTTCAAGGGCACGAAGAAACATTATCTTTACAGTTGTAAATGACAATTTGACCTAAGCCGAAAATTATTCCATTTGAAGGACAAGTACATCGAACACCTGCTGATTTCAGTATTCCAGTACCACTGATTTTTCTGGACTCCTAACATGGTCCCAGCAGTCGTCAATGAGAAGGGTGAAACAAATTGTTTCTTCATGCACATGAAAAGAATTTACGAGTAGGAGTTAAACATTTTTAGTTTGATATACATACATAATTCACGTAAGAGTAAAAAATTTGATAAAGTTTCAACCATAATATCTTCCTGGAGATGCTATCTCGGCCAAAAAAAGAAATATAAAAATTTACATGAATGTAATAGCCTGGCATGGCCATGTGGTTAGGGTACGCGACTCACAACATGCTCACTCTTTCAGCCGTGGGAACGTTATTATGTTATGGTCAATCCCACTATTCATTGGTAAAAGAGTTGGTGGTGGGTAATGATAATTAGCTACCTTCCCTCTAGTCTTTCACTGCTAAATTAGGGACGGGTGGCGCAGAAAGACCTCGTGTAGCTTTGCGAAAAATTCAAACCAAACCATAAACTTGACAGTTTTAATGTAACATCTTCTGTACATTATATGCCAAGGCAATTTAAAGTTTAGAAAAACTCCATGGTATACTCTTTCAATGATATAAATCGTTTTTTATATTGCTTAAGTCTGTGACCCAAAACAAATACCTTAAGGGTTATAGACTAAACATTGAATGATAATGTGTTATTTTCTCAGCGAACAGTTTCAATATCATTGTGAGCATTTCTCTTTTAAAATACGTAATCTGTGTGCAGCATTATCCCACAGTTGTAATTATGGATTGTTCATATATGATTTATGGGATTCTTTTGTTCTTTTTTTTTTTTTAGCTAATTCAACAAATTTATTCTTTCGCACTTGGATATGAATAAAAATAAC